GCTCATGCACTTCAATTCTCTCCAATAACCAACTCTCAAAAACATGCAGCACTTTATGGATTAGAGCCATTACACAGAAACTAAGGAGGACTGTATACAGACACTTAAGAGTAAGTTTCAAGAACCACAGCCTACTACTAACTAATCAGAAAAATGGATCTATACTCACTGGAAATTTCTAAGTAATCTTCAAATGTTGAATCTTCAGGTTGAACAGATTGCATATGAGCAGCATCCAAGAGATTCTTCTTGAACCAAAGTAAAACCAGACACTTAGCAAACAGGCAGCTGGAGTAGGACAAAATCTAGCTCAAGTATGATCTAATCCTGCTGCCATACAACATCCCATTGCAATACGTACTTCAAAATTATTTATCCAAAAGATGGCATTAGTTAGGCTCCATTGAGCTCCTTGTTGCTAGGCCACCTACAGTTATGCTAAAGTTGGCTTTACTGGCATAGAATTATCTATTTACCATATTGATACAAATTTGAGTATTGTGGTTTAAATGCTTAGTAAAACTTCACAATAAGGGATCCAGGGGCACTTAAATGATTTAAGTGCCCAACCATCTTTGCAATCCATCCCAAGACATAAAGAAGAAATCACGCAGTAGAAAACATGTATAAACACTGCCAAATCAGTTCACAACTACCTGACAGAAACCAGTTAATCTGCATTGTTTTAACAGGGATTCATCTCTCTCTTAATATATAGTATTATATACATATAAGCATATTATATTTATGCTGGCACCAAGCCATTATCACTCCATGGTAAAACTGAGTTCTACTGTCCTAGCTAATTTTAGGCAGAACAACTTGAAGACAAGCCACAAAATAATAAATAGGATAGACAAATAAAACCCACTGCAAGAGCCTTTTTGTCACCCTGATCTTTGGAACCTCATGTCCATTACTATCATAATACAGCTTGGTATGATTATCACAGACTAGCATGATGAGATTGGCATGACCATATAAGTTAATAATTTATTTCCATCCACCTCATTTAAAGATCAAACTTCAAAGTTATTAAGTTTGTCCATTTTCAGTGTTCTGAAGCTGGCACATTGAAGAAAGCCACGAAGCCAAGAATACACACCCCTAGCTTTCATGAGTTTCATGCAACCAGCAATACTAAAAACCAAGTTTTTCAATGCACCATCTAAGCAAAAATTGTAGTTTTGAAAACCACACAAGGAAGAGGTAGACAGAAGAAGGAAAAATGTTGTGGAATATTCCAACATTAAAAAAAAAAAAAAAATCTATAAAAACAATTTTAATTATTATGTTAGAAGGAAACCCAGCTTTTATAGGAACTCAAAAGAACTCTGAATAAAGTGTATATCGTATGATTCTAGTACATGTAAGAAAACTGAAGCCAGATTTTAGTGCGTTAATAGTCCTAAGTAACTCATGTAAATTATGAGAGATTAAAAAGACAGCTGCTTGTTCTAGCACTGACATTCCATCAGACGTCAGAAAAGAACAGTTCTTTATGCTGTCTCAGTGCTACACCAATGTAGAGACACCACGAAACTCACAAATATTGACCACCTGTCAAGATTCTTACTGGAGATTCAGATCTGTGGGGCGATCTGAACAGGATCCTAAAGATTCATGCCCAGTGAAAAGAAATGTTAAGGAAGGGAAAAATGGGACAGAAACAGAGGAACAAGCTTTGATGTGAAATTCAGGACCCAACTACTTGCTGCTCCCATGGTGAAAAGATTTGGAGTTGGCTGGTTAGCCTGACTTCTGAGGGAGACCAAAGAATCAAAAAGGGGGAAAGGCAAGTAGTGAGATAACTGACCGGAAAAGCACATCTGAGAGATCTTCCTGCTAGTTGAGGACTCACTCCAGAAGATCATCCCCCTTTTTTAAGGTTCAGAAAAACTGCTGAATTAAGTTGGATGTAGGAATTCGTATTCAACCTGCAGAATGTCACTACTCCGAGCTATTTTTTCAGAGGTTAAGAAGATAGACTGGATTCAAATGAGAAAAGTAATCAGTAACATTAGTTTTGTTTAAATATATAAACACTACTTCAGATACTTTAGCATTTCTTAAATGAAATGAATCAGCGAGTTCTTGGAGAGAATGCAGAACCCATGTAAAAGATAGAAAAGTTTTCTTGAAATGCCCAAAATAAAAGGTCATTTCCTATTTGTTAGATTTCCTTTATGTCTGGAATAATGTGAATAATTCACATTATTTCAGGCCTCAGTTTTCTACTGGATACAACAGAAGTGGTTCAAAAGTTGCACTACACCATTGTCAGAAAGAACCCTTCTGCAAAGACTGTAAAGAGAGTTAATAATTTTGTTACGCAACAATAAATTGGATGAACTATAACCAGACACCAGGTCTTTTTATTTATGTATATATACTAAATAAATAATATAGACTGACAATTATAACTACAAAGGTCAAGATACACTCCAATGCAATAAAAAGAGATAATCTGACTCTAATAGAAACTCATTTTTCCCATTTTCTGAGCAGGGTGAAGGGTAAGATGGGCATCCATGATTAGCACAGCACTGGGCATGGGCTATGACACATTTTGAGACACTGAGTTTGGATTCAGCACCATGCTAACACAACTACTCAACTTCCATTTTATAGTCGGCTGATTTTTACCCAGTTCCAATTACAGGGGCTAGTCATATGTCTTGCCTGTATCTGACAATGCTCCAGTTCACAGTGAGATGCAGTATTTCAATTTTGTCCTTCATAAAAGATGTTAATTCTGGAATTCTAATATTTATATAGAGGCAGGATTTTTTTTTCCCTATGAAAATTATGCTTACTTCTTTGCAAATTTTATTTTAGAACTTTTATGTAAGTCAAGGTGATAAAAAACTACATGAAAATGTGGGAAGAAACTGCATGTAAAAACTACATAATGAGACCTAAATGGCAGTATTAAATAGATATTGTGACGTATTTCCCTCACCGCCATTAAGAGTAAACAGCCTGAATGCCTTCCATCCGGCAGGCTTCTTACCCTGCAAGACAGCAATATAAGAGGTAGGAAGAGGAAAGAGCAGGTAGCTAGCACAGGAAAAGTGGCAGGCTCTGCTTCTTCCTAGCCTTAGAAAAATAAAAAAAGGCATTTCTAAGATGGTAGACCATGGCTTTGAGCAAGGCGAACGACCGCAGCTGGAACAGTGAAAGACAAGAGGACAAGCTGCAGCCTGAAGAGGACGTGTCCACAACCCCAATCCTTGCCACTTGCAGGTGAACCTTCCCGCACAGAACAGGGACATGGCTGTGGGTTCCTGCTCTCTCCCAGCTGCAGCTGCACTGGCTCACCAGGTTAGTGCTCCAACATGTTCAGCGTGACCCCATGCTGGGGGTACTGCGCCCTCACAGCAACCATTCATTCAGCAAATGAGATTCTTCATTTGCCTATCCCAGTTTAGGCAAAACCCCCAGGTTTGAAACATCTGCTGTATAAGAGGAGGTGGCTCACTTCAAATGAAATGAATTAGGAAACACTCACAAAAGGAGCTCTGTTGGCAGATCTGAGATAACCTCTGCAAATTACTGCTGGAAGAGTCTCCTTGAACTGGAAGAGCTGTAGTTGGAACACGAGGTGTTCACAACTACAACAGACTAGCTTGCACCAAATCCCATCTTTCAAAAGACCAAAGGGTCTGGAAAAGTTAAAATTAACTCTCATGCATGGTCAGCTTCTAGCACCCTGTTTTGACTGCAAGTATGGCACCTTTCCATGAACCTACATTCTTTTTTCTTTTCATCAAGTGAGAAATACCTGTTGAGCTATTTGTCCTTTCCAGTCTGTTAGCCAGATTACTATTGATTTCAAAATGAAGCTGACTGGAGTGAAAAACCACACTATTCTGGTATCGCTAGCAAAGTTCTAAATTTATAGTTACACTTCAATAAAACCTCTTGTTCCAGGCTGCAATCCACAGATGTACAAGACTATGATAACATGAGACACTGTTAAAATTTGGTAAGTAGTGCACAATCCATGTGCTAAGCAAAATCCAATTCGGTGTTCAGGATTTACATTTACATTTTGAAGCTAACAGATAGCAAAGCTGATGCCATCCATGTGAACAGAATAATTATAACCCTAAACTTGGCAAAGACAAAAGCTGAGTTAATAGTTTTGCTCAGTTTCAAGTAGCACCAATTAGAGGGGAAGAGGAGTGAGGGAAGAAAAAGCTAAGTCAGGGAAGACTCATGTTCTGAATTATCCTTGAACAGACAAAATCTGGGACCTATGGAAATCAACCACATCAGGTAAATTCACTTAGCTGCGCACCTTTTTCTGTTGTAGGAATGGGTTAGATGCACATAGGATTCACTGAATGTGTTATAATGAAGAAAATTTGTAGAAACTGCTCAGAATTTAAACTATATATTAAAGTGTGAGCACATGAATACAGAGTATCATCCCAATTTTCATAGCTCAGCACTAGACAAGAAGCAAGTGGATAGTTTTCTGAAAGAACCTGCAAATATTCAGGAAATCCTCTGCCCCATGCTTATTATGTTGAGCAGAACAGATCTCTATCAAATTATAATAGACAAAGTAGAGATTTTTGTTTGGTTTGTTGGGTAAATATATTTCCTCCAGTTGCATAAAGACTTTCCCACAAGCATGAAGATACAACAGAGAGAGAAAATGTCAAGAAATTTTCTTAGTCCAATTATTGCTTTCACTAGATAACTGATTTTTACTACAACTCAAATATGGTGAATAAAATGAATGGATTAGCAATTCTTTATTAAGATGAGCAATAAAGATATTGTCATGATCTGGGGGCAATAAGGGAGAGATTCAGCAAGCAGTGTGGTCACGATTGGAAATTTGATTAAACTACAGTAAACTTCTCCTTGAAAAGATCAGTGCCTCAGTTGAGCTTTAGTCAGCCACATCATCCAGTAAATTGCTTTCAAGATAAGCCAGCTTATACATAAATTCTCTTTGCAAAGATCTGTTACTTCAGAACAGTCCTCCTACAGACAGAAACATGGCATTTAATGGTACTTGGAAAATAGACAGAAGTGAAAACTATGACAAGTTCATGGAGGTGATGGGTAAGTCTTACTTTTCCAGTGTGTTCTACAAGAATAATACCATTATAGCTGAATACAAACTCGAGCTGTCTGTGAACGACCTTCTGGCTAGCCTGTCCTTTCGCTGTTTGCTGCTCTGCCCTTGCATAGTGTACTGCATTTATTTTCAAAAGATTCCACGGGGGGGAAAGATACTGAGAAATTTTCTGATTTTAATTACATTATGTTAATCTTAAGCAACTTAACTAATTCCAACAGATTTATTTCAGCAGAGGAAAGAATCTCTAAGTCTACATTTGAGGAAAAGGCTCAGAGAATTTGAATGATAAACTTTAAGCAGAATTCTATAGCAGGACTATTATTTTGCTAACATGAAACTAGTTTAAAAATTACACAGGGAGGAAATCATCATTCTTCAGTTGTATAGAAACACATGATTCAAGTCATTTTAGCATCCTGATACTTACTTTAAGTTTATACAAACTGTGCATTATACGGATATAAACATAACCATTCCAGTTGGATAGTGGTTTGTATTGTACCTGTACTGGTGAATATGGCCTCAATAAAAAGTGAAGAAAAATAAAAATTTGGGTCAGAATGCTGGAATAAACTCACTTGACCACATAGAAGTCACTAAAAAGAGACAAATATGATGCTCTAGGTTTTGGGGTTTTTTTCTGATTTATGTTAATTGATTTTTCCTAGGTGTTAACGTGATGAAAAGAAAGTTAGGAGCCCATGATAACTTGAAGATGACTATTCAACAAGATGGAAACAAAATTACTGTCAAAGAATCAAGCAACTTCCGTACCATAGATATTGAATTCACGCTGGGAGTCAATTTTGAGTACAGTCTGGCTGATGGGACTGAACTTACTGTAAGAGACTTTCTATATAATTATATATTTATTACATGATAACAACTTTATAAAGTACAGTTTTAAGATGAATGATTTGTCTTCCTCGTTTTTAATTTAAATTTTACTTTTAAAGTGTTCAGGACTGTTCAGGAATGCTTGCAGCTTTTATACAAAGACACAAGGTAGTCTTAACTGTTAGTGGTCAACACTGTATCGTGAAACTCAGGGTTCCATAGGGTGCCCAAAAAGCAGAGTATGTATCAATTTTCATACAATGAAATCCAGGTGATTGCAATTTTACTTCTTATAATACTCAAGTACACCACCCAGAATGCAGAGTGGGTATTTGTAAGAAATTACTTTTTCTCTGTTGATACAATTAATTAAAATAAGGTGTACCGAGCACTAAAAAAATCTAGCTTGCCTATTATGTAATTAAATAAACTAGTCATTTTATTAAAATTTCATTTTTACAACCTTTCCATCAATGTCCAAAAAAGCATTATTACACTGTTTTAATCTCTTCTCACT